TTTCTCTCTATCTTATGCCCATCTTTCAAATTCAATTTCAAAAAAAAAATCACCACCTAGGTCTAATGACCTAATACGCAAAATATGTTCAAAGATGGGATCGAGCTTCGAACCAGCGATCTTATGTGCTAACTCAATGATCTCAGCCACCAATTCTAGGATTTTATCAGATCACACATATGCTATTGGCGTGTAAAAGCATATGATCCGATTATACAACTCAGCTTTTAACAACCTTGCATGTAACTATTCACATAAAGTGATATTCAAAATCATAAGGTGGTGGTCTTATTTGAAAGTGCACTGATAACCATGGTGAAAATCAATGCATAATCCAGATAAAATACTCCACTTAAAAATCTTATGTGCATGCATCAACTTGTGATCGGGTTAATCCCATCACTGTTTTTGTTTACCTTTCCCTTTAGCTTCGCGGACTCAACAAGGTACCTTGATTTGAGGTGTTTGTTCTCTAAACCATAACCTCCGCAGATCCCCATTTTTATCACTTACTATAGTGCAAGCAAGTACCCCAAACAATTCAATTTTTTTATTTTTTTAAAATGATATTTAAATAAATCAGAAGGAAGTTTTTTACCTCCTCCTCAATCTTTAGAGGTCTCAGTCTCACCTGTCGACACCTCCTGTAAAAGAAAACAGAATATTTCGAATATATTTTCATATATACTAGTTTTGGTAGTTTCCTTGTATTAGTAGTTTACTTGTATAGGGATTCCCTTTCCTTGTTTAGTTAGGATTCCCACCTGGTCTGTCAAGGTGTCTGTCTAGACGTTCATTCCTAGCGGCCCGTTAGTGTTTAGCCCAGTTGTCCGTATGGAGTATGTACCCAATGGCATGTGACCCGTTTAACACGATTGCTCGTCTGGAAGTCCATACCCAGCAGCTCGTGGTCCTTTAGGTGTTGGCGCTAAAAAAAAATCAATGGGATGGGAGTCCATTTGCAAGTGGTCAACCGGTTAGATTCAAAATGGCCCGGTTGTCCACTTGAGGTGGAGTGTTAAAGAGTATCCCACATCGGAACTTGAAAAGAAAATAAACCGGTATATAAACCATTGACTTGAACTAGCTAGTTGACACCAACCCTAGGGAACAAAAATGAATTAGGAACAAAAAGTATGAATTCCAGAACAACATAAAATGAAAAAGAGGCAAGCATAAATAACAACATATTTGATGATAGGGATACATTTATTCCTTACCAAGAGGAGAAATGAAAATCTAATGGAAGAAATCTAATTTGAACAGATTCATCATCA